CGCTGTGAAGGACTTTCAAAAAGGCAAGAGCTGACAACTTTTCAGGCTTCAAAAAAGAAACGTCTCCCCCACTCCCTTGAAGGCATCCAGGAACTCCCCGGAAAGCACTGAGCTTTCTCGGCTCCAAAGAAAAATCTGTGCAGTTCAATTCCTCCTGCCCTTAAGCCTCCAGAGAGGTCTTCTGCATTTGCATTGTCTGTGTGCGTAATAAAAGATGCCTCTTCTCAAAAGTAACTGGAGTAAATCTCAAAGAAAGCAGGACACTGCTGGGCAATTAACACTTCGTTTGGCAGGGCTCACCCTTTTTTTCCTCCCAGATCCGGTGAAAGGAGTAAATATTTGGTTACTTTGGAGTTTCTCTTTGAAAGAAAGGGCAAGCATTTTTTGTTGTCATTGGACCAAAGTTGATTGGTGACCTTCCCAAAAATGTTGCATTGTGTTGATGAGAACATTGTTACTGGGGTGGGGTTTGACCCTACTGGATTTTGGGAGAATGCAAGCAATATTTTCTTGTTATCGTTAGAAGACGCTGAGACAGGAATGTTTCCACTCTAATGCCACTGTTTCACGCATCCTAAACGGCAAAAGAAATTTCAGTTTGCTACGCCCTTTATATTTTTCAATTGGTACAACGCAATGTCAGAATTGGCCACTAGAGGGCCCCAAAGAGCATTTAATGCACAATGCAGTACATTCTGTCCTGCAAATAGTGTAGTGATCTTAAGTCAAGACCCCACTGTAGTATAGTGGAAATGGCATCGTTCCTTAATGCAAAGTAACAAGCCAACAAGGATTCAAACTCAGGGGTCCTGAATTCTACCCTAACATACTGCCCACTACACCACACTGGCTGTCAGCGGACTCTCTAGGGACAGCCTTCTTGTTCCGTCACTACGTTTATTTATTTCTGAAGCATTCTACAGGGTACCAGCAGCTTTTAATGGTACAGAAGAGGGCATTTCAGTAGGTGTAGCCAATCAGACAAATGAACCCAGATGCACACACCATGAGGACTTCCAAAGAGAAAGGATTTCTGTCATTATATGCATCTGGTTTGATAATCTGTTCGTTTGTTGATATGAGCATACTCCCCTCCAGGGTATTATCTCAAATATCTCTATGTTTTGTTAGCTGATTTGAGTCAGCCCTTCTCAGCTTGGCTCTATAAGATGTTTTGGTACTATTTTTCCTCATCCTTGACCATTGCCCAACTTGGCTGGGGCTGAGGAGACGTCGCCCAAAACATCTGGAGATCTCCAGGCTGAAGAAGGCTACCTACAAGAGGAAAGAAAGACAGGATGGAAACTTATAGAATAAATGACAAAAAGTAAGAGTCTGTTTACATTAATAATATACCACGCAATATGTGTCAGTATTCTTTAATTTGGTTTACAGTGGTGCCTCGTTTAACAACGATAATCCGGTCCAGGAAAATCGCCGTTAAGAGAAAACATCGTAAAGCGAAATTAAAAACCCCATTGATACGCATTGAAACCTGTTCAATGCGTTCCAATGGGGCAAAAACTCACCGTCCAGCGAAGATCCTCCATACGGCGGCCATTTTCGCTGCCTGTATAGTGAGGAATCTATCCCTAAACACAGCAGGGAGCCATTTTAATTACCCGGCGGCCATTTTGAAACCACTGATCAGCTGTTAGAAAAACATCGTTTTGCGAAGAATCGGTTCCCGCAGCAGGGAACCGATCATCGCAAAGCGAAATCCCCCCATTTAGATCATCATTTTGCGATCGCAAAAAGATTGTCGTACAGCGGATTCGTCGTAATGCGGGGCAATCGTAAAGTGAGGCACCACTGTATAAGCACATGATATTCACATGATTATAAATCACTGTTAGCATTTCCTTAAGGAAAGAACTGGAAGCTGGGTGGTCTAGTATGTGAGGAGAGGCCGCCACCCAGTTTTTCTGTCACAACTACTTTGGGCTGGCTCCTCAGGGAAGTTGGGTTGCTCCCTCGGAGAGGGTGCTGTGCTGCCCAGCAGATACATGCAGCAAAGCCTGGCACTCCTCCTTCTCAATTTACTCAGATAGAGAGCTTAACATATGCCAAACCGACTGAAATACAGTAGGATCTCCGTCTCAGCGAGGAATCGGTCCGAAGCCCCTTGTTGCAGATGCTGAAAAAATGTGATTATAATGAATACTATCATAGAAATCATAGAAATATATTCCTCTAGCAAACGCTGTACATAAGTGCAGCTTCTGGCTCCCTCTAGCGGCCAGTTCTGATAACTTCATCATTAAAAATAATTGAGGAGGATTTTTCTTTTAATATCTTTCATATTTTCAGACTTTGGGTCAATGAATCAGTGGATACTGATCCCACAGAGAAGCAGGTCTTACTGTAAAACAGTTTGGCAAGCAATTTAAAACAAACGAGCCTCTGGCAGAAGAGTATTTTAGGTCACTTTCCAAACCAAAAGAAACCCACACTTCTCTGGCAAAATACCCGATGCTTTCATTCCTGTCATGGAGACATTTGATTTTAAACCATTTAAAAATGGTTCTTATTGTCAGTGGGTCAGGGGTCCCAGATAGCTAGCGAAACTTCGGGTGACCTGATTTTCTAAGGTCCTGAATCATGCAGGGGGGGCTGACAGGGGTAGAAAAGTTTGACATCCCTATTATAGGGCGCCTGTTCTTTTTAATTCCATTTTGTGCTTGACCTATTCCACTCTTAAGAAAATGTTCTTCGTGCTAAGATCGACCTGAAGGCATTGATGCCAGCAGAGGGACAAGTCGACTTCCATCGATTTAATGAAAGATTGGGTTGAAGGCCAACTTGAGGCAACTCTTGGGCTGTCATGGAGACATTTGATTTTAAACCATTTTTAAAATGGTTCTTATTCTCAGTGGGTCAGGAGTCCCAGATAGCTAGCTAAACTTCAGGTGACCTGATTTTCTAAGGTCCTGAATCATGCAGGGGGGGGGGGCTGACAGGGGGAGAAAAGTTTGACATCCCTATTATAGGGTGCCTGTTCTTTTTAATTGCATTATACACTTGACCTATTCCACTCTTAAGAAAATGTGCTTCGTGCTAAGATCGACCTGAAGGCATTGATGCCAGCAGAGGGGCAAGTCAACTTCCATCGATTTAATGAAAGATTGGGTTGAAGGCCAACTTGAGGCAACTCTTGGGCTTAAAAACATCTCCCTCGCTTTTTCTGAGAGTGCTGGACTGCACCTTTCTGGTCTAACACATCATCCAACCCAACCGTTCGTTGAATTTCCACATGAGCCATCGTTTCTGCAGCTCACCAGAGGGGTGGAAAGTCAACCTGGGTAGCAGAGCATTTCTGGGGATTGAGCTGTAGTGGGAACCACGAGTTCTCTCCTTCGACGTGTTTATTGTTTGGGAAATGAACCTGGAAACGTCTCCGTGGCACGTCTTGCCGGCGCCGTTTCCTGCTTTGTTCGGACTCCTGGTCTTGCAACAAGGAACCGTGTTTGCTCAGAGGCGAAATGATGCGGCAAGTAAGAGTGACGAGACGTTTCGGGAAAGGGGGAAGTGAAGGAGACCTCCGAGGTTGGAAAAGTTACTTCGGAGAGTTGAAGCTCTCCAAGGCTCATGCTGGCTGTGGCATTGTGGGAGTTGTAGTCTGAACATGTAAATTTTTCCGAGTTCTAAGGCTGACAAGGGGCCCAACCCACCTAGCTGGCGTGTGTCAACAGCTGTGAAACATGAAGCCCCGACAGCCTCTTTTTGGCCACCACCAGGCGTCACCACCAAGTGCTCTGAGGGCCACCTCAGGGGCGAGCCAATCTAGTCTCACTTCAGAGAGGTCGTTGCAAATCTTGACTCGTCTCATGACAGCAAAGGCCCATACTTCTCCTCAGTGGTGAAAATGGCGAGGGAAGTCCTGACAGGCTGTCGGGAGCAATATTTCGCAGAAGAGAAGGCCCGTTTTGTGCAAAATGGCGTAGTTTTGTGCCAACTGCACCCCAGTTGAGATGGTAAACCCAACCTTGAGTCGGCTAGGTACTCTGGGATGGCATTTCCCAGAAAACCCAGCCAGCACAGCTGCCGGTGAAGTCTTTTGGGAATTGCAACCCAAGAATATCTGGGTTGCCCAAGGTTGGGAACCGCTGGTTGAAACAAGCCAAGATCTCCCAGGCTTGCTCTCTGTGTATGCGTGTGTGCACGTGGACTTTGCTTCTCACGGAAGGAAGACACTGGAGATGTTTTGCACAAGTTACAGACTCTTTGAGGGGGGGGCAAGTGAAATCTTTGTCTTCTTGGCTGAAGGCAAGGAGTCTTCTGTGGATTGAAAGTGTATTGTTGAGGTGTGTTGAACATGAACGATTTAGCAAATCATCATGATCATCTTTGGGCTGCAGAGTTGGAAGGGGGCCTATGGATGATCAGCCCCTCTCAAGAAGGCCCAGTGGGGAATCGAACTCCCAACCTACAGCCAGATATCAAAACCACTGAGTTATCAAGTATTCTCGCCTCTTCCACTACATGGGCAGAGTAGAGACAGAACGTGTCTGGAAATGTTGTATGAGGACCGCATACAAATGTACCATCTTTACATAGGGTCTGGATTGGTATAATCCACCACCTCAAGACTCTCTTGCCTCCTCCTCTTTTACACTGTATTTCAGATCAGTGCTTTCCAACCCCAGATATTCTTGGACTACAATTCCCAGAAGCCTTCACCCCTAGCTGTGCTGGCCAGGATTTCTGGGAGTTGTAGTCCAAGAACATCTGGGGGACTGAAGGCTTAGAACCCCTGTTTTAGATTGTTTGGAATCAACACAGCGAGCGTGGTATTAAAAATGCTAAAGTACTGGCCATTTTACTAGAATCTGAGTAGTTAGAGGACCATAAAAGAGATAATTAGAGGTCCCACTGGGTTATCCATCACACCATGGGGCCACGTCACAGTGGTGAGCACAATATGTTTTCTTTATTTTTAAGCCAGTCACATATCCGGTCACGATGACGCCATATTGACATGTACACAAGACAAAGCAAGAGAGTTTTCTTCTTGCTTCCTTTATTGGTCTTCACACAGAGCTGAAAATGTTTACACCCGGTTATCTGGACCCTTTATGGATTCATAAACGACAGAAGACATCAGCTATCATTTCTGTAACAGATTGAGTGAATTAAAGTATGTACGGGCTTTAAAAATAAGTACAACACAAAGCACTTGCGGCTGGTGGGTTGAACAAGGAGAGGAGCATTCCCCCAAAAAATAATTTCACGGAGTGACCCCCCCCCCCCACGCTGGTCAGAAATGGTACACAGATTGGACGCCGTCTACGCCTCCAGGACACTCGAGTTCTCCATCCGTGTTTGGTTCCGAACACTTGAACGTGTGAACAGGTTTCAATGAGGGACAAGCGTTGATGCTCCCATATTAGTCATTCAAGCCCTGTTCAGCTAAAAGACACGATAAGGGTTTATTTGTTTTAAAAGGCAATTAGGTAAAACAGATTAAGAAACCTGAGGTCCTCCAGCTGTGCTTCGAATCCCATCCTTCCAAACTATTAGAGTGACCGAAACTTCAGCCCCAAAACATCTGGAGAACCAGAGATTCATTGCTCTTGTAAGCAGAGGAACTTGAACCTTCTTTGTCTGACCACGAACCACTTTTTCTCTTTAGGCTACCATGGAAGTCCTCATCTTAGGCTTTCAGCCTGAGACCTAAATCTAGTTTGCTGGTTCCAGGTAGAGCAAAGTCATTCACTTAATGGAATTCCCCTGCTCCAGTTGTCAATTAAGGCCCAGATAATTACGTAAAGTGGGGGGGGGGGGTAAAAGGAAGACTACGGCCATTGCCAGATTTTTCAGGGGTGGAAGTGGCGATTTTTCTAGTCGGGCCTTCTTCAGGGAAAAAAATATGGTCATTGAGAGAAAGAATTCTAGTGGTGGATAGCAATTCCCCCCACTCTCTCATTTGGGGTTGGTTGGAGATCAACTGAATTTCAGCACTGGAAATAACGTCAACCGAGGGGGAAAGTGTCCGACATGACTGGAACTGGTTTTAAAATAAGACCCGCATCTCTTCATGCTTTGGAAATGAATAGAAAAGAGATGGAAACGGGGTCTGTAGGCCCGTCACATCCGTTTTGGACCTCAAAAGAACGGCTTTCTGAAGCGTGTTAAAACAAAAATTCAGTCTGTAACAAATGGCCACCAAATTCTACCTTGAGCTAAATTTGAGCAAAATTGGTCAAAAATCCAAAATCGAGGAGAACCGGAAGATTTTTGAGGAGACCAAGTCAGCTTCCCAAGAGAAGCGGGCACCTTTGTTCCTAGGTTGCTACAAAATTGAGTTTCAGTTGAAATCACAAGGGTTGACCTAACAAAACATTTGATGATTTTTGAATACATTAATTAAAGCAAAAATAATTAATATGACCACGGTTCAGGTTCTATGGTATGTGTTAATAATATTTATATTTCCAGTGTCCATGTATTTTATATCTTTGGCTGATATTTTTTTTTAATTTCCCTTCATTCTTACAACACAAATTAGTCTTTCTCTAAGAAAACACACACACACACACACACACACACACACACACACACACACACTAGCAAAATGTAGAAAGGGGATATTTTTTGCATAACTGCCCCTGAGAGGTTAGTAAAAGTAGAATTGTTGAGGCAGAATCAAGACACAGACTGCAATCCTGTTGTTTATTGTAGTAAGTCCCAACTAAAGGAGAGCTGATAAACCCACAGAACTCACCGAGCCATTGACTCACCAAATCCCCACTGATTCAATGGGTCTACTCTAGTTTGTTGACTCACCAAATCCCCACTGATTCAATGGGTCTACTCTAGTTATGATTTACTACGCTAAGCCAATGGGATTTCAGCCATTGTCTACCTATTGGAGAGCCGTGTTTTTCCATTTTCAGCCAGATGGAGAAGATAGAACTCATCAGAGTTGGCAGCCCATCATCCTCCACTAGATGTCTATGTTACTGCCTCATCCTTGCAGAGCTGGAGTCCAAGGCGAGAAAGGGGTGTGGGTTTCGGACTACGATGCCCAGAATTCTGCAGGTTGGGGAGGAGCAGCAATCCAAAGGACAAACAGTGTGCGTACACACAAGACAAACAAGATTCGGCCAGGCCAGATGGGGTGAGGTGAGGTGGAGAGCCTCGATCAATGGTTCCCAACCGTGGGTCACCCCGATGTTCTTGGTTTGCATCTCCCCAAAACCATGGCCGGCAACTCTGGCGGTTGAAGACTTCTGGGAATTGCTGTTCAAGAACTCCTGGGTAACCCAATATTGGGAACCAGTGACTTCGATCATATTCCTGCAGGGGTATCAAAAATATGTTCCCTTTTTTTGCTGTGAGATTTTTTCTCTCTCCAAGCGCTGACTTAACATGGAGCGATCTCAAGAACATTGCTTCATCTTTATTTAAATGATAACGTGAGATGCTCTGAAACTATTCCCACGGTGCAATGGGTCCAATTTCCTCCACCATCACCCCCGGCCCCGCTCATACTGTATGGTAAACTGTTTCATGGAACCGAGTCCTGGGTTTGAATCATGTCTGGAACAAAGCTGTATTTTGTGTGCCATGAGACTATTGACTTCCTCTTCAGCAGGCATGCCCAGAACGGTGTTTTATACCCTTTGTGGGCAAATGTCTACCCCCCCACCCTCTTGCTTTGGCTACGACCCCTGCCCTTAGCTCCACCCACTCTCCCGTCTCCCGTCGTGGCTGCTATCTCGAAAACTGCCATTTGTCCCCAGGGTGAAAAGGTGCTCCATCACAGCTCTATGGATTTTCTGATGAGGAAACTTATAAGCATATACAGTAGGGCCCACTTATCCACTGTATCAGTATCTGATGATTCACTTATCCACTGTCTGAAAATATTAAAAATATTTTAAAAAAATTCCCCCCAAAATATTTTCAATGATGAAGTTACCAGAACCACCCTTCTGAAAATATTAAAAATATTTTTAAAAATTCCCCCAAAAATATTCTCAATTATGAAGTTACCAGAAACACCCTCTAGAGGGAGCCAGAGACCAGGCTATGTATAGCATTCAACTGTGTTCCCTATAATCCACATTTTTCAGCATCCACGAGGGGTCTTAGAACCCATCCTCAGTGGATATAGCGGTCTTACTGTACTACCTCCACCCAGAAGAGGGAAATCTGAAACCAATAGGACTCTCAACAGGCAGAGAAACCAAAGCATTCTTCCCCATTTCTCCATCTTCTCTCCAGGTAGATCGTTACATAGCACATGTTGAACAAATCGGAGCGCTACACCTCTCGTGCCAAAATTGTTGCGGCATTGGGCGAGGCCACGTCAGATGCCAGCCAAAACAATGTGGGCCGTACAGAGTGAGCTGTATTGTGGAAGGCAAATCCGGGAGGTCTTACTTGCCTCTTCGTGCACTGACTGAACCCAAGGGGAGAGTCCTGGGGTGTCTTCTGTGGTTATAAAAAAAGGGTGAGGATTGGCTAAATTGAACCGACGTGGTGGGGAGCTCTGGGCAAGATCTGGGGAGATGATGGTTCCGATCCACACAAGACTACAAAATGCACTTGGATGTGTTTGGGGTAACTAGTTTCTCTCTTTTTCTATGTACACGTTTTTCATTTTGACTTCAGATCTTTGATTCAGCTTTAAAGTCCCATGTTCCCCTTTCTTAAAACGATGGGTCCAGCTGTGGGTCTATGGAGGTACAATTTATACCTAAAAGATGCCAACATTTCTTTCTCGCTCTCTGATGCAAGAGATTTAACAATATTTCATGGAGATGAATGTGTGTTAACTTAGCTCCTTCCCTATAATTCCCTAGACCAGTGGTCCCCAACCTTGGGCCTCCAGATGTTCTTGGACTACAACTCCCAGAAGCCTTCACCACCAACTCTGCTGGCCAGGATTTCTGGGAGCTGAAGTCCAAGAACATCTGGAGGCCCAAAGATGGGGACCCCTGCCCTAGACCATTCAGCAGTTCACGTTGAAAAGCTGTCCACCAGCATCCGGGGGAACGAGTGCGAAGTTTGCAACAGTTCCAGTGCAATCCCCATCGACTTCAATTAAGGCTAAAGGAGATACCACACCTGGAAAGAGTATTTGCTTTCAATGCAGAATGTCCCTAGCACATGTAAGCAGGGCTATGAAAGAAGCTTGACCGTCAGGATTGATCCTACCAATGCTAACCACTGTGAGCAATAGGGATGGGATCTGGGGGACTACAGACACCATAATTCTCCATTCTGAGGGTTCTAGCTACTTTACAGGTACCTCACAAATACCTAAATGTGGCTCATCTGGGAGAAAGGCCTCAATTTGAGGGCTCTGAGGCTCAGCTAGGCCTAGCTTCCCCTACACTTCCTGTTTGGAAAGGAAGCTCCCAGCTAGCACTGGGGCAGGAACAGGAAGCTAGTGTGGAAGCTAGGCCTAGCTAAGCTTCAAAGCTTTCTAGTTTAGGCCCTTCATCCCAGGCGAGCCACATTTAGTAATCTTTCATGTGTGTGTATAAGTCATGTAGAACTCCCAGAATAAAAAATTACGATATACAGAATAGAGTTTCTCCTCAGCTTTGATCTGTGGAGATCGGAATGGGAAATTGCCAGCCCACAGGTGGGATGTAAGATCTGCACTAACTATATCAGCTCCCCACCACCAAATTATAATCAAAGGGTGGTTAAAGAATATATAAATTGAATTTTTTTCACCAAGAGTAATATATAAAATCAGGTTGTAAGAAATGGAGATATTCCTTACTTTAGCGTTACATTTATATTCCGGAATCAGGATTGTGTAGGTGATATAAATGCCACACGCACGTATTTGGAAGTCCAGCTATGTCAGAGCTCACAAGCCCTATAGCTTTGAAACCTATGCAGCTCCATAAGAGGAACCCTGTTTTGGGTTCTGATTGCCAGTTAGTGACATCACTTGACCAGGAAAGGGGGACACTTCTCCCCTGAAATGTTGGGGTGAAGCACCCCCTGACCCAGTCCATGAGCTGCTCATGTTACCATGGGGTAGGTCTGTTAGTCCAGTGGTTCCCAACCATGGGTCCCCAGATGTTCTTGGACTAAAACTCCCAGAAGCCTTCACCACTAGCTGTGTTTGGCCAGGATTTCTGGGAGTTGTAGTCCAAAAACATCTGGAGACCCAAGGTGGGAGAACCACTGTGTTGGTGTAAGAAATGGGTGTCGCTCCTTATTGAGAACAGTACGATTTCAGAGAAGGCCATAGGTCATCTTTCACTTCTAGAATGTTCCCTCAAGAATTGCTACTTCCACACCCTTAATTGCACAGCCCCTGAACAGAATGTGGCCCCCTCGGTGGATTCAAAACCTTTGCTCTGGGGAAATCTCCTCAAGCAAGCTCTAGTCAATCATCCTTTCTGACGGCGTAAACATCATGTGCCAGAGTGTCCTCTATTTGGGAAGAAGCTGATCCCTTTGGATTAGAAGCAAAATGATATCAGAGCTTCTTGAATGGTTGCTACACATCTTTCTAGCTCACGTTCGCACAAAAATAGAATCATTTCGGATCCAGGTCTCCGCCCCGCCCCCTTTATTGTGTAACCACAGATCTAGGTGTCTGGAAAGAATGGGAGAGGAAATATATATATATATCTATATATCTATATAGAAGGATAACCCTAAGAATTTGCAAATACTTTTGGAAGAATCTTTTCTTGTTTTACAAAGAGTCTATAATACTGCTTCTTAAAAACTCCAGAAAATGGATTCGCCTTTCCCCCTTCTCTCTCTCTCTCTTTCCTCTTTCTGTCTTGACTCTCCTTTATTTTGGCTTCATCTCCACTCTGGAGTCATCAGCATCGAGGTCGTATTCTTCTACCTGGCCACTGGTCCAGACTTTCATGCGGTCAGTGACGTCACAGCTTCGTGGAGCCAGGATGAAGTCGTAGACCAGGGCGGCACTGACGCCTCCAAGGATGGGGCCAACCCAGAAAATCTGAAAGGGAAAGGTACATGATGGGAGGGGGGTTGGTTGGTTTCTTGGTACTGTGGCTCAGATAGATCATTTATCCCTCTGATCATCTAAGCTCATTAGGGCCAAGACAGGAGAGACCCCCCCAACCTGTCTTCATCCAAGAGAAGAACAAGGCGATGGAAGAAAAGCAGAATGGCACTATGATGATCTATTCCTTTGTGGATGAGATCTGCAGAGCCCAAGAAATTGTAAGCAAAAAGTGCCATAGAACCTGCTGGAGTTATAGCAACCTCGCATGCAAGCTTTAGTAGGCGTGGTTGGGAGGGACCTTTGTGGGCTGTCAATCTATCTAGCCCTAACTAATGGTTCCATCCTGCTTCTGAATTCAAAGAGAGCCCCGCCTCTCTGCTTTTAACCTCTTTCCCTTCCTTGTCTGAAACAGTCAGTGAGTCTGTTGAGGTTTTGCTGTCTCAATCAGCCCTGTTGTTAGCTTGCTATTATCTGCCCGCTGTAAGTAAATGACATGTTTCTATTCTTTCTGCTAATCATGTCTCAGGGTGAGTTATTGAGATTGTTAGCGCCACTTGGTGAGAAAAAAAGGAGGGGTGGACTCATCTAGGGAGCTTGAAGCTATTCTGCTCTTCGAATCCCTGAACTTCCGCTGTGTGGCTAGAGGAATTTAACCAGAAATTTGAAACTCTGCAACAGAATCCACTCAAGCTTCTAAAGGGTGTCTATTTGAACTTCGCATCACAAGGAGATTTGTGTCTTTCTCCACTATGTGGATAAATACTTCTCCCATTTCGGTACGAGGATTTGAAACCTACCCAGTGGTTCTTAAAATCTCCCACAACCACAGCGGATCCAAATGATCTGGCAGGGTTGATTCCGCAACCGGTGTAGTCAATCTGCAGAACAGCAAAGGGAAAGACAATTAGCAGAGAGGCATCTTTCATCTCAGAAAGCCGATGTCTTGCCCACCTTCCACCTATACAGATAGATAGTCTCTACTCAGTAGCAAACTGCCTGGTTAGTTCAGTGAGATGAATCATGAGGGGGTCAGGACTGGAGTTCAATTGCTCGCTGCGCCTTGGAGGAAAAGAACCCATTTGTGTGGACTTAGAAAACCTAAACAGTTCCAAAGCACCTAGAAAAGGAGAATGAGAAACCACCAGGATACCAAGAAAAAAACCAAAATGGCTGCCGTAAGTCAGAGCTGACTTTATGGCATGTTGTTGTTGTTGGTTATCATGATCATGATGATGATGTGTCCAGTGGAAAGCCTGGGAAAGTGTCCCTGTTAGATGACAATTCCTGGAAACCTCAGACTAAGAAAGCCAGGGGCAAAGCTCAAACCCCCCACCCAGCCAGAATGAGAAATTCAGGAAAATATCTTTTTTTAAAAAACTTTCTCAGGTTGTAGCTGTATCCTTTGAGAAGAATATACTCTTTGCCTCTGAAATTGCTGGACTTTTTAAAACCTCGCATGCTGCGAGGGAGGGACTTTTCTGGGCTGGTGTGACTGTCAATCCATCGAGCATTGACCAATCGTTCCCTCCCATCTCTGAATTAAAAGAGAGCCCCGCCTCTCCAGTGAGCGTTCCTTTCCCCCTCTCTTTAGTCAGTTGAAGTCAGCGGGTTGCTTGTTTGCTGTAGATCTGTTCACATTTTTTTATTCTTTCCTCTACTAAATGTTTCAGGATGAGTTACTGAGACTGTAAGTGCCAGTTAAGGAGAGAAGGTTGAGACTGTCGGAGAACTTGTAGCTGGCCTCCTCTCTGTCTGTCTACTTCTACTGTGTAGCAAAAAGAATTTATTTTTTTACCAAAACATCAAAACTGCAACAGAAACTAGAAGCAGCTCCCTAGCCGGACTTTCTACTTACAGCGAGAAGGTGCCCCAAGGCCACAGAAAGGCCAATGGCCAGTGGGGCCGATCCGGAGACGTCGGTCCTCCTCCTGTCTGTGGTGGCAAGCACACAGAGCACCAGCTGCAAAGTGGCAATGATTTCAATGCCGAGACCTTGTCCTGAATTGACTCCTTCAGCCAGCTGTGAGGGCAAAACAGAAAAGAGGATGTGAGGAATTTACAGTCCACAACAGTCAAGGAAACGAGGCAACCTGTCTGTAGAATCATAGAATGCCTGAGCAGGAAAGGGGTCTGCGAGGCCATCCAGTCCAACCCCCTGCTTAAGGCAAGAATCCAGAGCAAAGCAGATCTGACAGCTGGCTGTCCAGTTTTCTTTTGACTGCCCAGAACATTGTAGCGCTCACCACCTACCCCTGAAGTCATGGGTTCTATTGTTGTACTGCTCTAACAGTTAAGAAGTTTTTTTCTCATCTGGCTTCCTGTCACTTGAGCTTGTTCATTGGATCTCCAAGACGTCCCATAACCAAAGAAGGTTTATGCAAAACTTTGGCACCCTAAATGGCTGCCCTAATGATTGACACACACACCCATATGTGAATGAATCACTTTAAATGAGGCCTCAATTAGATTACATGGATAAGAAAGAGCGGGCATTTAAATGACCTGTCATTCCTACAGACTTTTGACAAGAGTGGAACAGAATTTTCTCTGTGTTTTTTTTGGGGGGGGGGAATTTGCAAATTTCTTCAACAAATTTCTTCTTTATCATTTGCAAATTTCTTCAACATTTGCAAATTTCTTTATCATTTGCAAATTTCTTCAACATTTGCAAATTATTTGCAAATCTCTTCACCATTTGCAAATTATTTGCAAATTTCTTCACCATTTGCAAATTTTTTTCAGGCAGAATCCTGTCGGAAAACAACGCTGAGTTCAAACAAGTGAAAGCAACAGGGGGTGTGAAAAGGCAGAAAGATGAATGTCTCCTTAGAGAAACATAAGGAAAGAACATTTGGGATTAGCTTCCATGGCAGGGCAGCCTGTTTTTTTAAGATACACAGAAAGCAACCTTCCTTGATTTTAAGCTATGATTTTTCTTTATCTCTCCCCCGCCCTGCCCCCCACCGCCTCTGTATTAGGATTGTGATTGCCTTAGAAATCTAATCTGTATTATGTTCAATCTCTTGTGCTGATCATGGACCACAATAATAATAATACACTAAACTAAGGTAGTATCAAGGATATTGGCAAGTCTTTGGTCCCAATTTCCAAGTCCCTATTAAAGGCAAGCTTTTTCCCCCAGGAAAAAAAATGGAGGGGAGGGTGACTTCTGAGTCTTAATTCAAGTCCCAGCCATCTTGGGGGGGGGGTGAATCAAGTCACCGGTGTGGCTTAAATCCGACATAACCACGAGTCCCACGATTTGAGTCCACATCCTTTTCTAGCAGACACCCTGCCTCCTAAGTCCTGAGATTTTTGTTCATTTTGCTTCAACCTATGAAGACACCTAGGGATGTGGTGGCACTGCAGGTTAAACCGCAGAAGCCTCTGTGCTGCAAGGTCAGAAGACCAAGCAGTTGTAAGATCGAATCCATGCGATGGAGTGAGCTCCCATCGCTTGTCCCAGCTCCTGCCAACCTAGCCATTCGAAAGCATGTAAAAATGCAAGTAGATAAATAGGTACCACCTCGGTGGGAAGGTCACGGCATTGCGTGTCTAGTCGCGCTGGCCCCGTGCCCACGGAAACTGTCTATGGACAAACACTGGCTCTGTGGCTTGGAAATGGGGATGAGCACTGCCCCCTATAGGCGGACATAACTGAACTAAATGTCAAGGGAAACCTTTACCTTTACCTATGAAGACACCTACCCAGGGACTCCCTTTGACATTTTGCAAACAAGAATGAAGCCTAAATGACCACCGGCAGGCCTGGAAAGCCATCCTGCCCGTTCTTCAGAGGAACGTCTCAATCCAAAACGGAGGGTGCGCTCACATGGGGAAATCGATCGCATTTTGGACCGCTCGTGGAACTGTGACGCAATCTGTTGTTACGCGACATATAGAAAATTGCACTCCAGCCTGCCCCCGATCTGTGATCAAATGGGACCTTTTTGGTCCAGCTGTGGATCTGCTATTTGGGGGGGGGGAGGCCGTTGGAGCCATCTCTGGCAGACAGAAAGGTTGCTTAAAGGGAGATCGCCAAGCGATCTTTTCCGGTGTGATTGGACACACAGCCTTTCCTGCTGCCCGATCACACCCTGAATGATAACAGAAAAATCATGAACCTGGCGCAGCCAATATGAATGGCTGTGTCATAACACACATCAATGTTTATTGTGCCGGCATATTTTCCAAAGAAATGTGTTAATTGGATCCAGCAGTTGCGTCTCTAATGTAAAAGGTGATCTGTATCTAAGGGGATAAAAATTACTTGCAAGCGTCTAATTTTTACTTTCACCTTTTAAAAACAATTCATGTTTTGGTCATGCCAAGTTATTTCTCCAAACTGTCTATTCAACAGCGACTGACAGAGAAATAGGCCTGTTCTCTCTCTCTCTCTCTTTCTTTCTCTCTCTCTGTTCTAGTTTTCACTGCCAAACACTGCTGCTTCTTGAGGCAAAAATTTGATTGAATTCCACCTTTAGAACATGATGTTCTGCTTTGGAAAAGATCAGGAATGCACCCGGTCATCCTTTCCCCCACACACACACTCACTCCAAACAAAATATGAGAATGGGAGGAATGACTATTTATCCCGCCTTAGGACAACAAACCCCACAATGCACTGTGAACAAAAACACTTGCCCTCTTAAAGTAAAGCAGCAAATCCCTACGATTCAATGATTATTCCGCCTGCTGCAGGACGTTCCTCGGCGGGATTGTCTCGAACGGTGACTCTCTGGGGAGAAGTCCACTTTCACGGGGGCTTTAAGGACTTTTACACTAAAGGAGGTGGGAAAAATCAGCCCCAAAGGCCACGTGTGGTCTTCTTGCCCATTTTGACAACTGCCAACTGACATAGCAAAAGTTAGAAGTTCAAAACTGCCCATATTTCAGAGTCAAAAAGATGAGCACAGATAGGACCTGGGCTTGTTCTAAAAGAGACGTCTTCTCCTGGAAGCTGCCCTGAACGGTGTTTCTCTTTTAAAACAAGACATGCATCCTGACATGTCTTGATTTACACCTCCAAATGTTGTGTAAGGGCAAACGGTTGTGCCCCACAGTGGGGTTGTGTAGCAACACTCCTCTCCAGAGAGACCACGGTTGTCCACTTGTGCTGCGATGTGTAACTGACTTCTCGTTGTTTCTACTGCACCCTCCATGAATCGTTCTAGAGCCCGGTAGAGAAAGACCTTCTCGATCTCTTGAAAATGTGGGTTGGCTTCACCGATCTGAAAAGTGTTTTAACCGTGAGCAGATTTGGGCCGTTTGGCATTTCCCACGGACAACGGGGTTCTGTTAAAAGTCAAAAGTTTAACGGAGTCACCTTTTTTGCCCAGTGGATCTGTATGTGTGGAATTGGTATTTTCATTTTCCCAAGTGAAAAACTCATTTTTAGAGGCCCCATGGGGGAGTCAAACTCCCAACCTTTGACTCCACAGCCAGAGTCCTGAACCCGCTAAGCTATCCAGCACTTTGCGAAACCTTAGTTACATAAACAAGTTCCAGTTCTTGCTGATTTGTTTCGGAAGCAGCCCCATGTCCAGTGTTTTATCTAGGAATGCAGGTAATGAAGAACATATTTTAGATCCAGGCCACTTATTTGCTCTCTGACTTCTGTAAACAAAGAGAGCGAAAAAGGAGCAGGAAATTAAATGGGAACTCAGGTAAAGCAAGCTACATTCATCCCCTGTGGTTGCATATTTTTCCTTATTGGATTTTTTTCAAGAACATTATTTAAGGATAGCAACTGGGGGATGGGCGGGGGGGGGACCAGAGAATGTTTTCCCTTACATGAATGCAATAAGAAGAATTATGCTATTTATTGGTTATACAAGATGACTCAGTGGCATGAACGGTGCGCTTTTACAATCAAAGCAGCCTTGGGCGAGGCGGCCGCCTCCCTGTGAATTTGATTCATTTTCCTATAAGCTGGGATGGATGAGTCTGTCATCCTTCCTTCCTTCTCCACGATACATGGAGAATCCTCTGTGAAGAGCTGAGTCACGGACACAAAGATAGACCGCAACTGTTGGAGGCAACAGGTCCATCTCCAATGGTGCCCATTGTTTCCTCAGTAGAAAAAATAAATAAAGCAGAAATACGCCATCCGGTCCCTGCCAAAGGTTTTGACCACAACTCCCGTGTCCCCCATCAAGACAAGCCGTGGTGAAGGGGATGGTGGGCACTGTAGTGGTTAGAGAGGGTTGAGGGGCTGGGTTGACCAAGAGGCTACTTACTCGGAGTTTGGGATCTCCTGATTCAAACCCCAGATAAGCACTATGTGGTGGTGGGTGAATGGGTTTGAGGTCACGTTGGCCACAACTTTGATATAAGCCCCATGCTCAATGGTATGGCACATTCCTTGCATTTGAAGAGATACACACCCCATCACATATCCAGTTTGGATGGGATAATTTCTGATCTTCTAAGTACATAACACAGAGCTCAATCTACAACAGAATCCCTTTATTCATATAGAAGTCATTTCTCCACACAGAGACAATATTTTAAGGCAGGAAAGCCAGAGTACACACACCCAGAAGACTGGGCCTGGAGAGTTATATCTCAATTTTCAAAGAAAGAAGGAACTATGTTCCTTCTCCTCGGTGATGGTGGAGTATCCAAGTGGAAATGGGAAAGGTGAAGCAAATACCGGCTTGCTTTGCTGTGCCTCTTCCCATTCTTACTGTTCAAAAATCATGATGGCTTTGCCCTTTGCAATGGCCACCCTATCAAACTGACTCGTTGGCCTACGATCCAAGGAAGCTAGAAAAATGAGCTTTCCCAGACATTAAAATCTCCTCTTCCAGGCAAAGCTGGCTCATCTGGAGAAGGTTTCTTTGATATTGCACAACTGTTGGGAGAACTTAAGGGCTGTTGGCAAGAAAGATGAGCACAAACCACAAGTTTCGCAGTTCGTTCTGGTTCGTTTATCGGCAAAACAGGGGTCTGGTATTTCCCAGTCCCGCCTGCTCCAGCAGGCACCCGCTCAGAGAAGGTGCCCCGGCTTTCCTGCCC